TTTGATCAACAATCTTCAACAATAGGGCCCTAGGGTTTAAGTCCATGCGGCACATGGTTGGCGCGTCCAGACTTGATATTAGCCGACCTAATATTGTGCATTGTGTGATTGTTAGACTTGTTCACACGTGCTTACGAATAAAGTCTGGCTAGAAGAAAGTACACCTACCCAAAGAGAAGACGGATGAAGGAAACAAACCCCACCGGCACAATGTTCCTAGAAAAGGGATACTCATATTTGCATCGGGCTCATATCAAGAGCGGGCTTTCACTGCAGCTTTGGATAACGTCGACGGTGGTATGCCTTGGCCGCGCGCACCCTGAAACGAGTAGTGACCACGGTAAATGAAAGAATAAGCAGAATAATTAAGGTTGTTCGCGGGAGCTGAGATGCGCGCACTGCCCGGGTTGAGTTGATCCTGGCCTTGACGGATCACGATGTGTTGTCGCCATATGCAACTTCCCACCACTCCCGAGTCCCATCAGGATACGTAGTTCGCAGTTGAGTTTGAAGACATATTTGGCGAAGTTGAGGCGACATTGATTGACTCAACCAGTTAGAGTAGGTAGTGAGGAACCGACGCATTCAGGGAATGGCTCCATAATAGCATAACACGACGTCGCAGGACAGCTGATGGGCTCGGTTCCTGAGTACTCAAGTGTGCTTAGTCGCGTCTGGGAAATAGTTACTTATTCAGGGTCAAACGCGCCAAGTCACATATGCACGGCTCACTGACGCGTCTGTGACTCTGTGTGACAGAGTGTCCTACCACCAACCATGGGTATCAAGGGCCTTACAGGACTCATCTCTCAACATGCACCAGCAGCAATCAAGGAGCATGATATCAAGACACTCTTTGGACGCAAGGTCGCCATAGATGCATCCATGTCAATATACCAGTTCCTCATCGCAGTCCGGCAAAAGGACGGTGAGATGCTCACCAACGATGCTGGTGAGACAACCAGTCACCTCATGGGGTTCTTCTACCGCACAATACGCATCGTCGAAAATGGCATTAAGCCAGCTTATGTATTCGATGGCAAGCCCCCAGAGCTCAAGAAAGGAGTTGTATGTGTCTTAGTGATTACGTTCCGGGCCGCCCACTGAAACTTCGTAGCTGTCCAAACGATTTGAGCGACGTGAGGAAGCAAAGGAAGAAGGAGAAGAAGCAAAGGAAACTGGCACAGTGGAAGACGTTGACCGTTTGTCCAGACGAACGGTGAAGGTGACGAAACAGCACAACGAAGAATGTATCAGGCTTCTCAAACTAATGGGTATCCCAGTTGTTGTGGTGCGTTAGAACTTTGTCTAGCACATACATAAACTGACGGTGCTTTAGGCTCCCTCGGAAGCAGAAGCACAGTGCGCAGAACTTGCTCGCGGAGGCAAAGTGAGTCACCCAACGCATCTCGCGTGTTCAAATTCTTATGCTGCCCTAGGTATATGCGGCTGGTTCAGAGGATATGGATACACTTACGTTCAACGCACCAATCCTCTATCGGCATCTCACCTTTTCTGAGGCCAAGAAACAGCCCATTAGTGAAATTGACCTTCAAGCCGCCTTGCAGGGCCTCGACATGAACATGGGCCAGGTACAATCATGTGTGACGTCATCACATCATCTTACTGACATACGAATAGTTTATTGACTTGTGCATCCTTTTGGGATGCGATTACCTAGAACCGATCAAGGGGGTTGGCCCCAAATCCGCCCTCAAACTGATTCGAGAACATGGAAGTTTGGGTGATGTGATTACCCACCTAAGAGAAAAGTGAGTGCCACGTTTTGGCTGTACTTGTGTATCACCGCTCAATTTCCCTTTGTCAGAACCGCAGAAAAGAAAGCAACAGCAGTCTCTGAGGATGAAGCGGATGAAGAGCCTGCTCCTACGTCCGACGTTGAGCCCGATGAAGATGCACCAAAGAAAAAGCCCAAGAAGGCTAAGGGCAAAGGATCAGGTGGAATGAAGATACCAGAGGAATGGCCTTGGGAAGAGGCAAAACAATTGTTCGAAAAGCCCGATGTTATACCCTCCGACCAACTTGAGGTACGCGAGATACAGCCTCCATTAATACTGCTCTAACCTATTTTCAGCTCGAATGGAATAATCCTGACGTTGATGGACTGGTGCAGTTCCTGGTCACCGAAAAGGGATTCAAGTATGATAATACTTGACTATCATTGATTCAAGCTGACCATACTTTATCCAGCGAGGAGCGCGTTCGCAAGGGTGCCGAAAAACTTCAAAAATTCCTGAATACCAAGCAGCAAGGCAGATTGGATGGATTCTTCACGGTTAAGCCCAAGGAAAAGTCTGCTCCTGCTGCTAAGGCTGGCACCAAATCTAAGGGAACAAAACGCAAGGTAAGCCCCGTCAAATCTCTGTGCAAGCGACCCGTCCCTCATAATGTTCAGGGCGATGATAAAGCAGAAACCAGCACCGGCAAAAAGGCGAAACGGAAGTGATCACCCCACTTATCCACTTGTTGGGTTTATATGTATTTATAGAATATCTTCTTCAGTTTCCCCTGACATGCTTCCGCTAAACCAATTACCTACCCCCCCACGCACACACACATACGAACGAAATGGGAAGAATTCTCAGAATCATAAATTCTTGTAGGCTGGGAATCGAATGCAGTTAAGCGCCATCGCTTACACGGAAATGATGTGCCGCTTAGCCTGATCACTGGAGAAATGCGCCCGGCAAACAATCGATATATAAACCCGCGCTAGACGCATGTTGGCTCAGCCAACGAACGGACCAAGTGATTGGTCCAAATTTTTATTGGAGTGACTGATTTTCCCAGCTGAACCCTGCCCGCTGTGCTCCCCCCGGAAGGTCCCCTGGAATGCAGGCCCTTCTATTATCCCTGCTGTTGCGCCATCATCGGACCCGTTGAAGGTCGTCTTCGAAGTATGCACACCAGAACACGAGAAGCGTTTTCTTCTGCGTTCAGGTCATCAGAATGCTGTTCGGCAAGCGAAGAAGGGTAACAGGAATGCCCCCTGCCGAAACTACCGTTCTTCCCTATCCGGGTTTCTCCAACTCGGACAGCCCCCGTCGAATATCGGGCAAGGAAGTCATTCCATCATCCAACGCTCAATTCCTGCTAGTATCTTTTAATAGAATTATTCGATTTGCACAAAGTTAATGGAGTGTGAGCACCCTCGAGAGAAGTCCTGTCGACGTAAGAGCTGCCCAGTCTCTATGCCATAAAACTCCCACTATTTCAGTACTACCCCACTCCAAACACCACCATTCAACGGCGGTAGCTAAATAAAATAGCTCATATCCACCCAACTCGTGTAGTCACTGCCAACAGCACTAGAAATGGAATATGCAGACGCTTGGGAGGCAGAGAGGACGGTAGCGAAGCTCGGACGAGATGCACCACTAACCCCACTTCCGCTTGAGTTGAATTCTGCGAAAAGGATGTTGTCGGTCCGGGGATCACCCACGTTCCATTGAGACCAGAGAGCACTATTGAACGGAGCGGTTACGACTGTGTTCTTGAATATGACCCTGTGGACCGAATAAAGCAATGATCAGTACATGTCCCGGGTCTCGAGAGTATTTTTGGCCTCGGTTGGCACGTACTTGGCGAAGTCTAAGAAAAATTCGAACGTATGTGGTCAGTGCGGCTTAATGACTTGATCAGCAGAGAAGGCGACTTACTGCCCCATGGTCGTCCGAAGTATGTGCGGGCAGTGACATTTGAGGATGCACCGGAAGCTGTTACGATCGTGTTTGCGTTGAAGACATCTGAAAAAGAGGTCAGCTGGGCCCGGGTTCTGTAAAGGAGAAGAGGTTGACTTACAACTACCGGAGTCGTTTGATTCACGACCGTTCGCTGTGACATATCCAGCACCTTTGACCCCGATGGTGTTTCCGCCGAAATAGGCAAGGCCTTGCCTCCCAAAAATGAAATCGACGGCACCCTAGTCCGAGAAATTCGCATGAACTGAGTTACTGGGTGGTTGACCACACCTGCCAACATACCTCAATGTAGTTGCGTAGATAGACTTGGGTTCCAACGTTTGCATAGAGGGTGTCCTGGTACCCATAGAATCCACATGCATAAAGGCCAACACGACTCCCGTATTGACTGAGGGCAATGGCTTGCGATCCAACACCAAAGGTATTCTTGACGTTGACGTTGTACATCTTGAAATCGTTCTTATGAACGCGAAGGGTGCCACTCGCGTCGTCAGAACCAGCTTGAGTGGCGTCAACGCCAGCTTGGATGGTCGCTTGGTTGCTCTTGTACGTGGTCGTGTCGGTCGTGTACCCATATATCTGAATAGGTTATGGGTAAGCAGATGTCCTTGTTCCTACATGTAATCAGAATGAACAAACCGTCAAAGGCCCAGTACGCGTGATATAGACCTGTTCGCTATACGTCCCAGGAAATATAAAAATGACTTGCGAACTGCTGTCGTTCGGGAGAGAGCTGACAGCAGCCGAAAGTGTTCCAAACTCGCCAGAGGTTGTGGTTCCAGCACGGACGACTTTGGCACCTGCGGGTGGTGTGGTGCGTGAAGCACCATATACCACCTCAAGCAAAGAAACGCATATAGCGAGGTAAACAAGAAGACGAGCCATTGTGGTGAAAGTGGATGAGTTCCAAGGTCAAGAATCCCAGCATTTATATCGCAGCTAGAGTTGAGGGAAGACGTTGTTCTCGTGGGTTTTCCGCTCCCGGTCCTTCGCACTAGGCATGTGTCCTTCCGCGGAGGTTGTCAGCTGGATCCTCGAGAGGTCATCCAACAGCGAAAGTAATACAAAGAACGGCCCGGGTGCGGGCCTGAGCTTCCCTGACACCTTGAATTAGACGCAAAACGAGACAGATCCTCTCTATTTTGAGTTCGAGAAACCGTGGAATTACCCTATAGGTGATAGTATTGCCGTTGAGAATCAAGGTGTGTGTAGCAGAAACCGATGATAAAACAAATATAGTCTGACGACTTGGTTACAAAATATTAACACTGACCAACGGGGCGCTTGGCCTAGTGGTATGGCGTATGCTTTGCACTCTAATGTGTACATGACCACTGGTTCATGGAAATTGTATAAGATCACGAGTTCGATCCTCGTAGCGTCCATATCATCTTCGTAGTCATTTTTATTTTGATGGCACCCGGGCCCAGCACTTAGAAGCAACAGACCAACAACGAACCATGCTATCACCCACAATTCAGTTTTTTCCCAAGTAATGCTCCTATTGTACCCGTTGGAGGTGATTGGCTTCTGACATATTCACCAAGTCAATGAATAGTGTCGCACCTCCATCATAACCCGAAGTTAGAGCGCTCCGCCCAAATCCAGTAACCTTATGATCCATATCCAATATCAGAACAATTACGGCTCGTTCACATGCAATGGCTTCCCAAAATCACCTCCTGGGAAGGCTGCTTCCCGATATAACCAGCTTCTATTATACAATGAGAATAAACGAATGAGGGATAATACTTTCAAAAACTTACGAAGACGAAACTCTAGAGCTAATGGCCTCTCCTGACATGCACAGCGCCGCCGGCGTTCGCAATAGTCCAGCTATCATTACGTTTCTGCCAAAAGGCCATCTCTATGGCACCTCGCTTATCATAATGATAAGAAATCCGCTAGTGCGGCGATGACGAATCGTCTAGGTTCCGACAAGAACGCTGGGGTGACGATGCGGTAACTTACAAGTCTATTGGTGAATCTCAATGACGTCTGTGCTTCTCGCTTGTGTTTAAGCGATGTTGGTCTGATTATGACGACAGCATGTTATGGTCCCTTAAATATACCCCAGCTTCAGTTACTCCCGTACACGCCGGACGGCGAAACCACCACTTCGCTTCCCGGTCCTGCTCACCAGGCACTGCAAGTATCAGAATGAGATCGATGTTAAACTCTTGGGCAGCTCCGCATGTACTTGAATTCGAGGGTAGGGGATCTCTGGTAGGTGCATTTTCCGTTCTTGTCGCAATAGAACTTGGTGTGGAGAATATTTGGATGATAGCACTGATTTATGGGCTGTGGTATACTAGATCTTAAGCTGCTTTAGATCGAGTTTAGGATCTGTGCAGGGTTTCAAGATTTGAAGTACAGGGACCTGGTTCAGGTCAATCACTCGCCGTGATGACCGCTTCATGCGCTTTAAGCGGCATCAGAGCATAGAGCTAGTTTATGTTCAAAAACAGGGTTTATTATAGCGACTGATGTCTTATAGTCATTATCGTTCATCGAGCGGTGACATAGCAGAAGTCAAGCGAAATCGATACATGGTCTAAAGTACACATCCATATATCCATATGGAAAAAGGCATATACACTACCGAAAGCGCGTCGAGAAGAAAGAGTCATAATAAATAGGAATCTATAGCATGGCATGGATAATATTACGGGGGAATGGAGTGTTGATTAGCCCCAAATGTGTCTTCCCTAAGGGTCTGGAGACTGGCCATCAATCGGGGGACAGTCTCTACCAAGATCATCCTTCGCGCTTCGACGCTCAAAGGAGGACCTCCGTGTGATCCGGTTAGGGTCTGTAGTTCAGAGATTTCCTGACCCAAGGGTAGATCTGCTGCCTGTGTGCGTTGAAGGATAGCGTCCTGAGAGAAATCCATGACATCAGTCGGATAATGGGATAGTCGTACGACAGGAACTCACGATTGTATTGAGGAAGCAGTTGCCAACTGTGTCCAACATGTCCTCCACCTGCTTTCGCGTAAACATTGGTTTGTCGGCCGGCACCGACTTGTCGGTTGACGATGCCAACAAGTTGTACTTGTTCCAACGAGCAATTGAGTCTGCCCGCTCTCCTGGGCTGACAAGGTACGGCCCCGTCGGATATAGTGTCGACTCGATCGAAGGAGACCCCTGCGAAGAGAGGTCAGCGGAGTTCGAAAGCGAGCTGTACCAACTTACGTTGGATGACGAGCTGCCAGAGCGGTGTGTGGTGTATGGGAACGGGAACGAGATGTTTGAAGCGGACGTGATCTCTGATGACGTTGAAGGCGATAGTGAGCCTTCAGAGAGTGCGGAAGAGATTGATGAGAAGAAGTCCTGGAAATCCTGGACAGGCTGCTCATGTGCCTTCATAGGGTCTGTTTGCTGGAAGAGGTCGACATGAATGAAGTCGTCGGTAATCGCTGGGGGGTGTTCATGAATCGGTGTCCCGACTATTCCCAATCCTCCCGCGAACTCGATATTGTGCTGAATGCCAGTGTCTTGCGTATATTGTGTCATGGCTTGAATCATGCGATCTGTTTGTTGATCCCAAGCGGATGTAGAGCTGCACTGCAACGAGTGTGATTGCAGCTCCTCGCTGAAAGTGCAACAAGTAAGGCATGTGGAACCAAGTATCGTTTGAAAGCTCACCTTTTCGCGAAGACCTGACTGCAACTTTGACACTTATGTACCATGTTTCGTGTGTCTGCAGATAGAGTTAGGCGGAAGTCAAGCAACGAAGTTGATGCCACTCACGAATGTGGTAATGCCGTCTCAGGTTAGATCGTCTGGTGAAGGGAGCATCGCAGCGAGGACAGTGGTATGCACCGTCTGTGGGGTTTCGCCGGAGGCTGTCGATGCTTGCGTCTCTGTGCGTGGAGTGCATTGCTCTTGTGAGTGAGAGTGAGGGGGGAAGACACTGTTGCTCTTGATAGCTCAGCTATTTGAAGGGTCTGAACTCAGGCCATTGCATCATAGCTCCCGTTGTAACCTTCGTACATTCCGGGGAATCGAATCAGAATAGGCCGTATCAACCCTTCGCCAAACTAATTCGACATCACTGGAGGCCGGTCGCAGTTCTTGGGCTGCGAAAACTGCATTTGCTTTAGATCTCGCGTATCTGCCATCTTGTCGCTTAGATGTCCAGATTAGACAGTTATTCAGGGGTGACGCAACGCTTACCCTGTGCAGGCCGAGCTTGATGAGAATGTGGATTATTATACACCATCCCGTCGAATTCGCTGCATGATCGACATTGACAAAGGCGTTAAGGGTCTGGATTGTGCACGCTTGTACCTTGCTAGTATAACCCGCGTGTGAACTATGACGCCGAGAAGCCTCAAGTCTACATGCACCGAACTTAGACCGTCACACGGACACTCACAGATAAGAAGGCCAAAGCAGATCTGATTTCAGAAACTCTGACTCCCCGTCCTGGGTCTAGAGGCAATGCAACGTGACGTTTTGTTTGAGCAGCAAGACTGCTTTCGAGTTGCAGACAACGGCATTGTTCCCATACAGCTCGTTAAGCGAGTTGATGCTTCCGGACAGCACGCAAATGTTAAGCGAAGATGCACTGAAGATTCCTTGTTATAGCAACACTCACCTGGATATAAACATTTGTCATCGGCGGTAGAACGTGGTAAAGGATTTCGACGTGTCTGTCGGGCCTCAGCAAAGGCGGATCACTAATAGCAGTCGTAACGATTGACTAGATTTCGAGTTGGTTCTTGTATGACGTCGATACTTTTGTTCCAGAAATAAAAACACATGCTCCGTTACTTGACGTAGAGCTGGTATGTTGGAAACACTAGACTACGATAGGGAGATGGGCCTTACCTCGACTTCGGACCGACAGGAAAAGAAGTGAGTGATCACAAGGGACACCTGTATCTAAATTTACTATATTTATTAAACATATAATTCTGGTGCCCTTTCGTTCACAAGATCAGGGTTCAGGACCCCTTGTGGACCCTGTCAGACGGGTCCATTATGGGTTGGTGTCCTATAGGGTGTGATGACATGAATTCATTCGATCGTCAAACTGGGGAAACACCGGGCGGCTCCTCCCGTGTTGGAATCGGTGATAACCATCCATATAGGCGAGAGTAATGGTACTTCGTTCCGCTGCTGAACTCGTCGAGTCTCCTGCTGCTCCCGCATAATGGATAAAGGCATTGAATTGATCCGTCTGCTCGCGACATCGGGCATAGCTGAGGCCATAGACAAACATTGATAAACATTCATGAATGCTAGTTTTTGGAATCGCCCCCGGGTGGTTGATCAAGAGCCAGATTTGACCCAGAGGAATTGAGCAGCATGATGGCATCCATTCAAGTCGACGCTGTTGTCTCGAGGGTAGACTTCCCCTATTGATGCCCTATTGATGGAGATCGCTTATGTAAACAAAAGCTGACATTTGGGACACGGGTAAGCGGTCGGGACACCATTCTTCCCAAAGCAAACAGAAAGGAACCTAAAAGTGATACGCGAGGTAGGTGTATTAAATGGACTTGGGAACGCGCAGACATAAGTAGCGTGGGCTACGTGTTATTCTCATCGATCCAGGAATTCCGGCAGGAGTGGAGATTTGCACGAGGAATGCAAGACTGCGAACTTGTGTATAAGACGAATAGCTCGAGATGTTCCGTCGTTGGCGATGGGATAGTCGCGGAGTGGGCCCGCAGTTTGCCCCGCCGATCAACTCGGGTGTAAAAAAAGTTCATAGGGAGCAAATTCTTGAAAGTACAAAGAAAAAAATGACAGGAACTGCTCTCAACGGCACCCAGCACTGAATAAACGATCAACATCGCCATGTATTACTCTATAGATTTTCTGAGGATAATGCTCAGCTATTTTCACTCATGCACTCGTGCCAAGTTAAGACTGCATTCTAGTGGCCATGTCAGGACAGATGTTCTAGTAGATGTATCGGCTAAGGGACCCTAAAAGGAAAGTGGTTATGATCATCGCCACTTACCAGTATAACCGTGGTAGGTCCCGAGCCTTCCTTACCCATGAGCTGAGCAAGGAGATTACCAGCACCTAGTAAAGCTTCGACATCGCCGTATCCTCCATCTTAACAAGCGTCGTTCAGTCATGACGACTGTTAGAACACAGAAATGCACGGAGCCGTTCACAAAGTGTAATCGCATATCCTCGAGTCACCGCGCTTACCTGTTTGTTCCGTTGCACTCTAAGCGATAGTTTCATGAGTGATACAGTGCGTGTAACGTGCGTGGCTCACCTCGTATCCGAGAGGCGCCCGGCCCCTCGCCGGCTAATGCATACCCTTCTGCCTGCTGGTGGACAGGATTATTAATTTGTTGATACAAGGCGAACAGCCCTATGCCTCCTTGCAGTCTGATAAAGAAAGTGGAGTGTATTTG